AGCTTGCTCTCCCCTCTTTTTGCTCTTGTTGCCTTTTTTGTCTTCCACTGCCATAAATGGTTGCCCCTCAGACACGCCACCCTGTCTTGGAGCCATCTGATTTCAGACTGAAACCTCCATGAACTGTGAGCTAAATAAACCTTTTCTCCTTTAACTTTGGGTGTTGGGTATTTTGTCTTAACGAGAGAAAAGTAAGTAAGACACAGGGTCTTGCTAAATTGCCCACACTGGGCTCCTATCTGTGATCCTCATCCCTCAGCCTCCCAGAGTACTGGGGGGAGGGGGATGCACAGCTCTGCCTCCAATTTTATTTCTCTATACTCTTGGCTTTATAGCAGACAACATGGTCCTTAAAAACAAACTAGATTGTGTCATTACCCTACATCAATAAATATCAATAACAGTAACAGCTAACTCACTTATAGGGCACTCACTATGTACCAGGCACAATTTTAAACACTTCACACACATTAAGTAATCCAATAATCACGACAGTATGAGAGAAATACCTTCTATGGGTTAGAATGTTTGTCCCTTCCAAACTCATGTTGAAATTTAATTGTACTGCAATAGAATTAAGCAGTGGGACCTCTAAAAGGTGATTAGGAGCCTGTAATCTCAGCACTCAAGGAGGCTGAGGCAAGAAGAGTCCTGCCTGGGCAATTCAGCTAGATCCTATTACAAAATAGAAAGAGCTAAGGATGTAGCACAGTGTAAAGGCCCTGAGTTCAATCCCTAGTACTGGTGGTGAGAAAGAGAGAAAGAGGCGCTGCATCCTCGGGGTGGAATTGACGCGTTTTTCTTTTTTCTTCTTCCCTACCCATTTAGTACTGGGGATTGCACTACAACCCCATAAGCTTTCTTTTTTTTGAGATGGAAGTCTCACTGTTGCCCAGGCCGGTCTTCCAGCTCAGGCAATCCTGTCACCTAGGCCCCTCCCACAGCTGGGACTATGTGCCACAGGCACACCTGGCTCCAAAAGCCTTTTTTTCTTTTTTCTTTTCTTTTTTTTTTTTGGTACCGGGAATCAAAGTCAGGATCTTGCACTTGCCAGGCTGGCACTTGTGCCACTGAGCTAAATCCCTGGCCCTTTCTTTTTCTTTGAGACAGGGTCTCTCTATGTAGTTCAAACTGGCCTTGAATTCACTGTGTATCCAGGCTGGCCTCTAACTTGCAGGAATCCTCCTCCCTCAGCCTCCCAAATGCTGGGATTACAGGTGTGCATCACCATGTGTCTGTAATCCCAGCACTTGGGAGGCTGAGGGAGGAGGATCTTTGAGAGTTCAAGGCCAGCCTGTGCTACATAGTGAGTTCAAGGCCAGCCTGAGCTACATAGCAAAATCCTATCTCAAAAAAAAAAAAAAAGGCGGCCTTGTAGGATTTAGTTCCTGGCCAGCTATTTCTTCACTATACACCTTACTTTGGCCTACACATTCCTTCTACTCCTGGTAAATATCCTCTTCTCTACCCTCACTTTATATCTTCACCTTCGCTCACAATGGAGTACTCCTATGCCTCAAAGATACAAACTAGTAGGCACTGTGGCTTCTCTACTAGAATTCTAGGCTGTAATTTCCAGCTCAGGTTAATTTAGGCCTAAAAGGCTACTTAGAAGAAAATTAAGTTGCTCCCAGAAATAAACAAGCTACAGAACAATGTATAGAAACAGGGGACTTCTAGGCAAAAAACAAACAAACAAACAAACAAACCAAAAACCCAACTATATCAACGGGGCACTGTCAAAGGACACCAATGTCACTAGGATGAAGTAATTATTGTTTTTTAGTTCTACAAATCAAGCACAAGGCCTCATGGATGCTAGGCAAGTGCCCTACCACACACCGCACTCTCAGCACCGCCTCCCCCACCCTTTTTTTTTTGAGGTAGGGACTTGTCTCGCTATGCAGTTCAGGCTGGCCTTGAACTCACTATGTAGGACAGGCTAGCCCAAAACTCACAATGATCTTCCTGCCTCAGTTTCCCAAGTGCTGGGCTACTGACATGTATTACCACACCTGTCTTCTCAGCCCTTAATTTTCAAAAAAAGTTTTGTTCTCACTTGATCCAAAATCCTAGTACAGAGGGTCTGATTGCCATAATGGCACCATATGCCTGATCTTTTGCTATGTTTTCTAAAAGGATTTGACTTGGAATGTTTATAATAAGACTGAACATAGTACGGATGACAGAATTTCCCAAAAGAAAACCAGTGTTTTTAGTAGGAAGACAGAATAAATACTCTATCTCCCCCAACCAAACAAATATACTAAATGCCTAAGGGCCCTTGCATAGTTATGGTTCTGCTTTTTTTCTTTTTTTTTATATTATTTTAAAGAGTAAAAGAAGGATAACAGTAATAGGGGGGCTTACCGAATTACAGACAAAGTGGTAGGAAATTATCAATGGTTGTTGTTTTACATATTGTTATCTACAAGACAGTTTCTCAGGAAAACAGACAAATAATAGTGAGTTACAGACAAAAGTGGTAGGTTATTATCTATGGTTCTGCTTTGATCAACTGCGTAGGTGGTCTCAAATTTGCAATTCTCCTGCCTTAAAAGTCCTGGGGTTACAGGCATGTGTGGCCACACCCAGCTTCATCTTTTCTAAATAGTTCTCCCCTACCTCCCAATATCCCTTCTACCAATTACAGGCACACCACCTATTTAATTTCTTCTTCTTTTCTTTCTTTCTCTTTTTTTTTTTTTTTTTTTTTTTTTTTTTT